AAAAATATATATAGTCAATTCTGCTTAATTGGGACACACTGGGACTAATCCATTTTGGCCCAATTAAGTAGCTGCTTCAATTAAACAAACTAATAATAAATTTTAAAATAAAATGAAACCTTAGAGCTACCTACCTTTGTCAAACAAAGTTATACTCGATCCAGTTTTTATTATTATTTTTTGTTTTACAGTTAAGAAAAGCATTTTGGTATGACATCTCATCAATTTCTCCATCATCAACAAAATAATGCATTTAGTTATGACAAAATTGCAAAATAAACTAAATTCTTATATTAATGTGATGCCTTCCTTTATATTTAATTTTACTAGTATTAGTTTCAGAATATAAATATTTACTGTACAAAACCTTTTTATTATTGAAAATTACTTCTATAACAACATTNTTAAAATAAAATATGTAATACATTGGTAAAAATAATAATTAGATGTTTATTTTAATGCTTTATTAAGGCAAAATACAGAAAATATTTGTACTATAAATTGTTCAAGAAAATAATACAGTAATACCCCGACTTACATACGCTACCCTGACTTACGCGAACCTGGAGTTATGCGATTTTCAAATTTCGTCGATTCGTCTTCTGTTTGAGTGCCAAGCAACTCTCGATTACTCAATCCCCCACATTATCGTTCGGCTTACATGTTCAGACGTGTCGTGCGGAATCGACACATAGCCACAATTTATTTTGTGTTATTTATTTCTGTGTTTGTTATATCTACAGAGACTTGAGAGACTCTATGTGATGATTTCTTCTAACTGGGAACGAATAAAAAGACGAGATAAGATTAATGAGAACATTTATTAGCTTACATACATCCGACTTGGGTTTTACACAAATTGCGAAATTATACCCAACTTACGCAAATTCGACTTACGCAGTTATCGCTCGGTCCCACCTATCGCGTATGTTCGGGGTATCACTGTATATACATGATAAATTTTACAATTTCAAATTTTAATTCTGCAAAAATGTATCAAGTGTAGTCTGTCTTTTGCTTCTGAAATTTTGTAGTTCTGCAAAATCAGTGCACATATTTAATGCATATGTAGGGCTTCCTTCATTACCTTCTTGCATAAAATAATGCTGTAACCCAACTATAAATGTTTTGTCTCATGATTAGTCACAAACACAGGTGGGTCATCATTCTTATAATTGCTTTCTTCTTCAAATTTTTGACATTTGGATTTAATGACTTCCACAATTGCATTCTCAAAGTTTTCATTTTCATCATAACATGGTAAATTGTCATCTATTGTTGAAAATTCTTCATTATTCATGATAGGAACTTGCAGTATGCCTTCATTTTCCTCACTACTCAAAATTTCAGGAGTCTCCAAAGGTTTTAAACCACAAACAACAAAGCAGTTTTGTATTGTGCTGCTTTTTGTAGCTCACCAACTGTCAGCAACAAACTGTATTGCTTACAAAATGGAAATTTTTGCACTGATCTCTCTGGCTGTTGATGAACTTGTTAACAGGTTTTCATCAATAGATTCCAGTATGTAATTAATCAGTTTTCCTTAATATGTCTTTAAATCATTTATTACCCCTATGTCCATTGGTTTCACTAAGAATGTTGTATTAGGAGGAGGAAATTCCAGCCTTATATTTTTTAGATTATCTAAATGAAGGTGTGCAGCACAGTTATTGAGAAGCAACAAAATTTTCCTTTGCTTATGTTGTAATTTTACATCCCAACTCATAAGCCAATTCTGAAAAATTTCAGAAGTCATCCATGCATTACTATTGGCATGGTACTCTACTGGTAAACTCTGTATTCTTAACCTCTTAAAACATCAAGGCTTAGCATTTTTTCCTATGATTAGTAGTTTTTGTTTGTCAGTAACTGACATATTTGTGCAGCATAACACAGTAATGCGGTCCATTGCCTTTTTATATTCTGACAGTGCAATGTGCTTATAACACGGAGCTGTCTGGCACAATAATAGAGGCCAGTTTCATCAGCATTGTAAATATCATCTGAACAGAAATTCTCTAAAAAAGTAGGGATTTTAATCTTTTGCTATTGTTTAGCACTTACATTATCCACACTTTTTCATATTATATATTACTTTCCATTGAGACAACCAACCATCAGATGCTTTAAAATCATTGTGGCTCAGTTTTTTAGTGCTCCTCTGATTTCACTTTCAACACTGGGCTGTTGGTATTCATGCCTTGCCTGCTAACTATAGAAAACCATTGATCTAATGTTTCTTCGATTTCTGGATCCTTTTCATTACATTTTCTTTTGGATGTTCTTGGAATTTCTTTCTGTAATGCCCACTCCCCACGCAGTTGATTTTCCTATCATAGGAGATGCACAATGGTAGATTTTGGTACACCAGTTATATCAGCAAGTCTATGATGGCTTGTATTCAATGGCTGGCTTTTAATTTTATCCAGTAAAACAATTTTACTTCAAAGTATAAAATCATTTCTTGGCATCTTGGCAAAGTTTTAAAAATTTTAATTAAAATCTACACTGTAAATGAATATCGCTAGGTATATTACTATAGTAATGGTATACTCTTAAGCAGATGCATACTTGCCAAACTCATGATAGATAACTGATTTGTATCATGCAAGTGTTGCCAAATATTAGTGTATGTAGTGTTGTGTTGACATTTTTGAAAAATCCCTAAAATATATCAAAAATTACAAAATTCCTTTTCTGTTACTGTCACAATTAAGTATTGAAATTATGTATTAGTTTATTAGTTTAGTTCTGTTCTTTGACATTTGGCCCAAAAAAACAGCTACCCCAATATGTCTGGTCACATAGATGCCAGGAAAACTTTTACTGCAATTATAATATTAATAGTAAAGAAGAGAGATTGTAGAGAATTTTTAGTGAACTTTTAAAACTCTCTTTAGGAACAAATAGCAGCATTATTGGCTGCAGAAGAAGAAAGGAAGAAATTAGAAGAACTTGAACAAAAGAAAATGGAAGATGAAAAAGAAAGAAAAGAAAAAGAAAAGAGGGAAAGAGCAAAGAGAGCTGAAGAAAGATTAAAAGCAATTGAAGGTAAGTATATTTCCTTGTTGGCATGCAAATATTATTGTGTGTAAAATCCATGTATTCCCAAAAATATATTTTGAAATTTTCAACATACATTATGTTTATTCAGTGTTTAATTAATCTGAATTTAAAAATTGTTTTGTCAATAAAATGATTTAGTTATATTTCCAAATACTTCTGTTGCATTCAAAACTGTAATCAAATTTGCCTTTAGTAATTACATCTTCATATTTTAAGTAATCAAAAAGTAGTGGATTTAATTTCTTTTAGAAAACTATGCTGATCTTTCTACTTAGTTGACTATTACATGTATAATGCATTAAGATGATTCAAGAAATTGTATTGCTATTAAGATTAAAAATTCTTGTAAATCATATTCACTATCATTTAATATCAGTACTAGCTAATTTGCTTGCATTTGTGTAATTTAAGTAATGACAAATGTGGTATGAGAAAATTTTTAAATTTTATATATTTCTACCATATTGCAAATCTCATATATATGAAGGGCATTGTTAGGGAATACTAAACTAAAGCAAGTGTCAATATTGCAAACTGTGTATGAACTGGTAACACCCATACAAGACTGCTTGAAACAAGAAGATACTGCTTTCAGTTGCGTGCCAAGTTACGGATGAGTGAACAAGTACATATATAGTCTTAGATTAGAATAAAGTTTAATTATAAGTTAAAAGCCTGCCTCATCATTGTTCTAACAGCATTAAAGACTGTTATGAAAATAAAATTAAGTAAATTTTTTCTAAAAGGAATATCAAATGTATGCATTTATTTAACGGATAACATTTCTTTCTTGAAATTAAAAAAAATCAATTGTATGTTATATTAAAATTATATTAGTAAATTAATATTTCTAAACATGCAATAAAATTTGATTTCAAATAATGTTTTTGTAATTGGTAAAATAAATATTTTTTTTAATAAAATTAGAAATATGAAGAATCAAAGTTTTTTTATAATTAAAAATTTCAAATAGAAATATTTTTTATTATAATTTAACAAAAGAATGAAAAGATATTTATAAAACATTTCTCAAAAAATGAATTAAAAATAAATTTCTTCAAATTTTTTTTGTTTAATCAAATAAATAAATGTCTCTAGACTGAGTTATAATGATACTTAAACTAATAATGATATTTAGAGAATTTTGCAATGAATCGATATCATTGGCATGAGACTATTTCTAACAAGAGAAGTACTCAAGAAATGAATTAAACTCTAGAAGTTAGGGAACTTACTTGGGAGATTACTTTTATTTTGACTATTGATACTGATTTTTTCCTGAGGGGCACTAAATAAATACCTTAACTTTTAGAAGTTTATTTTTGTGGATACTTTCCTTGTATCATGTGAATTTTGGGCATTTTTGTAAATATTTTAGTTGCTAAATTATTTTAATTACAGACATTAATTATATTAAAATACATTTAATTTAATATAATTGTTTGATTGAAATTTATATTTTATGACTACTTATGTAATCAAGTAGGAAAATCATTAACTAATATGTTTTTAGCCTGAGGAAGTTTAAAACTTGTAAAATGATATGGCATATTTTAATATCAATGATTTTGTTGCCTAATCATCATCATTTTATGTATTTTTATCAATAAATCTTGAATTGCAATTACAAATCTTTTCATCTTAGGAAACAAATTATCATAAAATCAATAATTTGATGCTTGCTTGTTGAATACAGATTGTGAGAATCTCTCTGTATTATTTTTCATGTAATGATCTTTTTATAGTGGATAGATGATAGTTTGTTATAAGAAAAAAATGTGATATTTTTATAAAGCAAATTTTATTTGATGATGATTACACAAGATAATCAAATTTCTTATCAAGTGATATTTTACAATTTTATTTTGCAGAACGAGCAAATAGAGCAAGGAATCGTGAACAGAGATATGAATTGTCTGACTCTAAGTCTAATGATAATTCTGATGATGATGATGATGATTCTTCATTTAATGATGAAAAGAATTATAAAAGAAAAAAACTCAAAACTTGTTTTCATATAGAGTAAGCACAAATTTATAATTTCTATTTGTAGTTTTTATATATTATATAATTGAGCAATTTTTAATATTCAAGATTAATTGATTTAATAGTTTGAAGTATCAAATTGAATTTCATACTTAATAGTATTAAATTCTCTATTTCAAAATTATTAAAATTGTATAAACCAAGCTTGACATATAGTAATAAACAAATGATATCATCAGATTTTAATCAGGCTATAACATGATTACTTAATTATAAAGATATTATATAATTTGAACTAGAGATAGGCAGTTAAGCTGGTATCTTGTATTAAATTTGTGTAACCTGTTATGTTAATATATCTTGAGTGATGGCCAGCTAAGTACCATAAATAGGTCATTGTAGGATGAGGATGCTGAAGCCATTCCCAGTTGGCACATTATGTAACCAAGGATGGTTATATCGTAATTAAATGTGCCTAGAAGAGGAGATCAGTCTGGAGGCTTTGGTAGCATAACTGGCAACATATCTGCATTGTAAGCAGGAGTTGTGTGTTTGAGTCCTGCTCTGGATCAATCTTTTCTACTAGAATATTCTAAATTAATTAATTTGTAATTATCAAATTTAATACCAGATGGTGACTTGACTGACTACCTTTAATCCAAATTATATTTTTATAATTAATTAGCCATGCTTGATTAAAATCTGTTGGTATCATTTGTTAAAACTTTGCTAAAAACTAAATGGAATTATTTAATCAGTTGTGATGAAACAAAATGTAACATATTTATTCTGCACACTTTTTTTAATATCACGACAAGACTTAAATGACTTAACTATAGAATTCAAGTACAATAAAATGCTGCGTATTTAACCTATTCCCTGGTATTTTTGACATATTTCAAGTCAAAACATAATGACCTTGACCAGTGGATCCATGATATCTTGTTTCTGCATCAGGACGTTTTTGACACTAGACGTCACTAGTCAGCATAAGTTTTATATTAAAACTAACTTCTGAAATATAATTCTTTTTGTTTTTACATTTATTAATATGTCTATTTTGTTTGTGCAAAATAAAAAATTAATTTTGGAAGATACAATAGCCACGATTATTTTTTTCTAAAATGTGGAATTTTCATTAGGCTTAACATTTACAAAAATTCAACGTGGAGTGACATGCAACAGAAAAAATTTCAACATGGGATAGGTTAATGTAAATTTCATGCATTCTTACTACTGTATTCAAAAAGTATTGAGAATGGATCATTTAAATTTCTAGCCAAAATTTGATGTGCTGATGCAAGACTGTCCAGTAGGCCACACATTTTTCGCTTTTGATGTGATGATGCCATGCACATGCTACAAAGGAAGGTGCCACATTATGATGATAATATTCCATACATCTGCTGCTTTTCAGAGAAGGTCCTGCCTCTGTGACTCTTGTTCTTATTATTTTGACATAACAGTTTCATTGTGAGAACTGTGTTCTTCGTATTTCTATAGTATTCTATATGAATATTTTGAGTTTAAAGTTTAAGTCTTGGAGCACATATAATGTATTGTGCGGTATGTGTGATGATACACATTGCTGGAAGGAGCATATAGTAATTTGCTAATAGGGTTGTTTGCTACAACACGTTTTCCTTTAAAAAAAACACATTAAATTAGCAACAGAACACAATTTACTGAGGCTGTATTCCATGTAACAATATTACAATTTCAAATATTCATAATTGTTATTTCATAGGTTGTCTCATGGCTATTTCTGATGGGACAGATATGCTGGATGAAGTTGGACTACACATAAATGCGGAACCAACATTTGATATGAAAATCAGGTCCTTGGATACTTTTGAATATGTTGCTGCAAGTAAAAGCAAATAATAATGGGATCCTCATCAGAGACAAATACAGCATTTTTATAGAGGACATTAAGCAGGCAAAAGCAAAGCAGAAAAAAGAAAGTGTTGACTATCATCGACTAAGAAAATATGATGTTATTAGAGTTGATGGCAAAGAAACACTTATTGTGCCAATTACAGGACACAATAGTGATATTTTGTAGTATATGCATACAGAAGAATTTTTTAACATATTGCACAGTACTCACTTGAAAATTGGACTTGGAGGTTACATGTGGATGGAAATGGAACTACAAACTAAGTACAAAAATGTCACCAAAGAAGTCATTACTTTGTACCTCCGCTTACGCAAAACATAAATATTTTTTATTATAATTTAACAAAAGAATGAAAAGATATTTATAAAACATTTCTCAAAAAATGAATTAAAAATAAATTTCTTCAAATTTTTTTTGTTTAATCAAATAAATAAATGTCTCTAGACTGAGTTATAATGATACTTAAACTAATAATGATATTTAGAGAATTTTGCAATGAATCGATATCATTGGCATGAGACTATTTCTAACAAGAGAAGTACTCAAGAAATGAATTAAACTCTAGAAGTTAGGGAACTTACTTGGGAGATTACTTTTATTTTGACTATTGATACTGATTTTTTCCTGAGGGGCACTAAATAAATACCTTAACTTTTAGAAGTTTATTTTTGTGGATACTTTCCTTGTATCATGTGAATTTTGGGCATTTTTGTAAATATTTTAGTTGCTAAATTATTTTAATTACAGACATTAATTATATTAAAATACATTTAATTTAATATAATTGTTTGATTGAAATTTATATTTTATGACTACTTATGTAATCAAGTAGGAAAATCATTAACTAATATGTTTTTAGCCTGAGGAAGTTTAAAACTTGTAAAATGATATGGCATATTTTAATATCAATGATTTTGTTGCCTAATCATCATCATTTTATGTATTTTTATCAATAAATCTTGAATTGCAATTACAAATCTTTTCATCTTAGGAAACAAATTATCATAAAATCAATAATTTGATGCTTGCTTGTTGAATACAGATTGTGAGAATCTCTCTGTATTATTTTTCATGTAATGATCTTTTTATAGTGGATAGATGATAGTTTGTTATAAGAAAAAAATGTGATATTTTTATAAAGCAAATTTTATTTGATGATGATTACACAAGATAATCAAATTTCTTATCAAGTGATATTTTACAATTTTATTTTGCAGAACGAGCAAATAGAGCAAGGAATCGTGAACAGAGATATGAATTGTCTGACTCTAAGTCTAATGATAATTCTGATGATGATGATGATGATTCTTCATTTAATGATGAAAAGAATTATAAAAGAAAAAAACTCAAAACTTGTTTTCATATAGAGTAAGCACAAATTTATAATTTCTATTTGTAGTTTTTATATATTATATAATTGAGCAATTTTTAATATTCAAGATTAATTGATTTAATAGTTTGAAGTATCAAATTGAATTTCATACTTAATAGTATTAAATTCTCTATTTCAAAATTATTAAAATTGTATAAACCAAGCTTGACATATAGTAATAAACAAATGATATCATCAGATTTTAATCAGGCTATAACATGATTACTTAATTATAAAGATATTATATAATTTGAACTAGAGATAGGCAGTTAAGCTGGTATCTTGTATTAAATTTGTGTAACCTGTTATGTTAATATATCTTGAGTGATGGCCAGCTAAGTACCATAAATAGGTCATTGTAGGATGAGGATGCTGAAGCCATTCCCAGTTGGCACATTATGTAACCAAGGATGGTTATATCGTAATTAAATGTGCCTAGAAGAGGAGATCAGTCTGGAGGCTTTGGTAGCATAACTGGCAACATATCTGCATTGTAAGCAGGAGTTGTGTGTTTGAGTCCTGCTCTGGATCAATCTTTTCTACTAGAATATTCTAAATTAATTAATTTGTAATTATCAAATTTAATACCAGATGGTGACTTGACTGACTACCTTTAATCCAAATTATATTTTTATAATTAATTAGCCATGCTTGATTAAAATCTGTTGGTATCATTTGTTAAAACTTTGCTAAAAACTAAATGGAATTATTTAATCAGTTGTGATGAAACAAAATGTAACATATTTATTCTGCACACTTTTTTTAATATCACGACAAGACTTAAATGACTTAACTATAGAATTCAAGTACAATAAAATGCTGCGTATTTAACCTATTCCCTGGTATTTTTGACATATTTCAAGTCAAAACATAATGACCTTGACCAGTGGATCCATGATATCTTGTTTCTGCATCAGGACGTTTTTGACACTAGACGTCACTAGTCAGCATAAGTTTTATATTAAAACTAACTTCTGAAATATAATTCTTTTTGTTTTTACATTTATTAATATGTCTATTTTGTTTGTGCAAAATAAAAAATTAATTTTGGAAGATACAATAGCCACGATTATTTTTTTCTAAAATGTGGAATTTTCATTAGGCTTAACATTTACAAAAATTCAACGTGGAGTGACATGCAACAGAAAAAATTTCAACATGGGATAGGTTAATGTAAATTTCATGCATTCTTACTACTGTATTCAAAAAGTATTGAGAATGGATCATTTAAATTTCTAGCCAAAATTTGATGTGCTGATGCAAGACTGTCCAGTAGGCCACACATTTTTCGCTTTTGATGTGATGATGCCATGCACATGCTACAAAGGAAGGTGCCACATTATGATGATAATATTCCATACATCTGCTGCTTTTCAGAGAAGGTCCTGCCTCTGTGACTCTTGTTCTTATTATTTTGACATAACAGTTTCATTGTGAGAACTGTGTTCTTCGTATTTCTATAGTATTCTATATGAATATTTTGAGTTTAAAGTTTAAGTCTTGGAGCACATATAATGTATTGTGCGGTATGTGTGATGATACACATTGCTGGAAGGAGCATATAGTAATTTGCTAATAGGGTTGTTTGCTACAACACGTTTTCCTTTAAAAAAAACACATTAAATTAGCAACAGAACACAATTTACTGAGGCTGTATTCCATGTAACAATATTACAATTTCAAATATTCATAATTGTTATTTCATAGGTTGTCTCATGGCTATTTCTGATGGGACAGATATGCTGGATGAAGTTGGACTACACA